ATTCCCCCCCCCCCCTCTCTCTGCAGTGCCGATCCCCCAGAAACGGGCCCCACCTACGGAAGATGAGGGCATCTTGGTCCTAAAGAGGAGGGTGAGGGGGTGACTCGGAGGCTGGGGGATGCCATGGGGCTGGAGTGCAGGGAGGGGCAGGATATAGGGGGTTCAGCTGGGGGGTGGCTGCACAGTTTCTGCCCTTGTGTTGTCTCCCCGCAGTCAGATCCAGGTGGGACGGAGAATGCGGTGCCCAGCTGGGAGCTGACGCGGTGCCAGGAACTCATGGTCCGGGGCCACCAGAAGCTGCTGGAGTTGCTGAACCAGGGCAGCACAAGGGAGCTGCTCTCCTTGAAGCGCATTGGCCCCAGGACTGCTGAGCTAATCATGGCCTGGCGCGAGCAGCATGGGCCTTTTGTTACGGTAATACCATGTGGGTGGAGGAGCGCCAGGTGTATGGGACCCTGCTCTTGGCCCTGAGATGCAACTGCCTCGGGAGGGGCTGGTCTCATTGGGACCTGGCCGTGAGATGGTTGCACTATGACCTGGCATCGCGGCTGCCTAGGGGGCTGTTTGTCTCAAAGACCTTTGCCTGCGGAGTTGACCATTCTGTCCCATTGCTCCCAGCTCCAGGACTTGCAGAGGATGGAAACGATGACAGCCAAGAAGGTGGCCACTTTAATCAAGGTGATGCAGGGGGAAGGATGGACGTCCTGGGGGCAAAGGCAGTGGGGGGGGCAGGTCCAGGGTGGTGCTGTGGATGGCACCAGGCTCTGCTCCTCCCCCTCACCCCCTTCTCTTCCCTCAGGCCAATACTCTGGACTGCATCCAGATGCTCCTGCCACCAGGGCCCTCTGCCCTGTCCTTATTCAGTTAGTGCCATGGCCTGGCCCTTGCCTGTGGGACCAGCCTGTTTTTCTGGACTTCTGGTTTTTGCTAGGGCAGCTCCAGGGGCCAGAAGCAGGAGCTGGAGCCGCAGTTTGAGCCGGCACCTTAGGGTGCCAACTGCGCAGGACACCATGCTTACCTCTGCCAGCCTGTCCCATAGGCTGAGCTCCAGGGTGAGGACTTGCCTGCAGGGTGTTTTCTCACTCCCTTCCAGTGCTCCCAGTTTTGTATGCGATGGATTTTAATAAACCTCCCACTTGCTATCAGTGTCTCTGCTTTCCTGCACCCAAGGGACCCACCCCCGTGCCCCATCCCCCTGTTCAAGTTGGAATGAGACTTGCAATTGCAGTCTGGGGTACTGACCAGAACAGGTGTTGTTGAACTTGTGGAATTGGCACTGGCTGGATCAGCCACCTTGTAGCAGGGCAAGAGGGTAGAGACCTAAAACAGGCATCGTGATAGGACTGAGGCAGGGGACCCAGCTGCCACGTTGGAAACAACATGCAGACAGTGCCATAGCCAGCCTTTTGCCAAGTGAGGGCTGAAGTGTGCAAGACCTGGCGCTGACTTTTGGGCATGTGAAGTGAGCACGCTACCCCCCACATTGCAGGCCGTAGGCTACAAGAGTGGAAACTGGGCCGCATCCACAACCTGAAGGAAAACCAGCTCAGAGTTGTGACTGGCAAACCCTGAGGCCTTGTGCCAGCTCCACCAGTAGAAGGGCTGTGTGCTGGCTGGGAAGGCTCATGCGAGTGGCTTGTGCTCAGCTGCTGGGTGACGCAGCTGGCATGTGCAGCTGTGCCCCCAGCAACCACTGCGGTGCTGCCAGGACCCGCTGTCTATCACAGCTGCTATGGAATGGGGTCTTGGTACCCCTGTTCTGAGTGCCATAGCCAGATCCTACTGTCTGCTACAGCCAGGCCCTGCTGTTCAACTGTGGCCTGCTGCCGTCCACTATGGCCAAGGTCTACCACGGCTTGCCACCAGCTCATGGCTGCTGGGTCCAGGTCCTGCTAGACCGCCATCTCTCATGGCCAGGGCCTGAGGTCTGTTGCAACGGCCATGGCTGTAGCCCACTTCCTACCACCCCCTGTGCTGCTGTCTCCAGGGCTCCCTGCAGCACTGTTTATCACACCCATGGCCTGCTACAGCTATGGTCAATTGTCACCATTGGTTCCCACTGCTGTAGCCAGGGCCACTGTCCCTCAACACTGCCACAGGACAGCCGTGCCATCCCTTTGGCTTTGCCCCTAATGATCATGGTTATTGCCACTAGGGCCCAACAGCCCCCTCTTGCTGCCTCTACTTGCCCTGGCTGCTGGGGGCTTGGACCCTCCTTCATCCTTCGCAGCTTGTCCTAGGGACTGCATCACCCACTTTCCCCCTAGCCCTAAAAAGAGACTACGTGCCATAAGAATACATCTAACCTTGGAGAACATCCTTGCATGCCATGCGGTGAACACCACCAGCACCTGTGACACTCCTGCCCCAGAAACCTCTGCTATGTAAATATATGCAAAATTAGGTGCTGAGAGTGGGGGCGGAAGACAGGAGAGGTAGAAAATAGCGTGTTTTCAGGCTGGAGGGCACCTGCTCCTGCCTTGCTCTGTAGCTCCTGCAAGAGACATCCAGCTCTGTTTCCTGTTCCCCTCTGCCCCTTTGCATCCTGGGGGATTCCTCCCTTCCCCGCAGCTAACCTCCCCAGCCTGTTGCTTGTGGCCACCCCTGGTCTAGTCCAATCCCCTGCTCCGGGCAGACTCATCCCTGTCCAAACATCCCAGGGACATCCTCGTCTCACCTAGCCCCGAAATGACGCAACGCCTCTGTTGCCCAACTCCCAGGCCCGTTGCCCTGCAATCCCAAAAGCCCCTGCCCTTGGCGACACTGGGGGTCTTTTGGGCTCTGCTACTGCAAGCCCTGTTGAAATGTGCTTCAGCGACCCCAGGCCAAGGCTGTGTTCCTGCTTCAGGGCACCGGGCAAGTCTGAACGGGCAAATTCCTTCCTGATCCCATTGCAGCATCAGGATGGCCCTTGAGTGGAAGTGCAGGCTCCTGCGTCCCAGCAGGAGCCTTGGCTCAGTCCCCCCCCCGGGGCCCTGTAGCAATAGGAGGACAGCAAATTTCTTCCTGGTGCCATATGGCTGCTGGGAGAGCTGAGAACAGGCTGATACTGGGGTCCTACCAGGACCTCGAGCCAGCTGGTTGTGGTCTCCATGTTGCTGGCCAGGGTTGCATCTTTTCTCCTAACCCGTGGTCCACCAGGCCTCCCCCCCACACCTGTATCACAGCACTCAGTGCTAACTCTGCCCTCCAGGCTGTTGGTTTGTAGCAATGTCCTAGAACGTGTGTCCTGATGTTTCCAGGAAGAGTCACATGCCTGCTTAGCTGGAACCGTAAATACCAAACGAGGCAAGGGAGGAAAGTTCAGCAGGTCTCAGCATGGGCCGGTGGAGAGAGTCAGCCAGGAAAGAGGCTCTGGAGGGCACCAGTACTGTCCCCCGGGGCCTTCTGAGATGGAGGGCCGAGTCTGGGAGCCTCCCACGGTGGGATGGGGGCCTGGTTCTCCTTCTGAGGCACAGACTAGGTTTCCGCTCTCGCTCCTGAGCTTATTACCGTATTTCCTTGCATACAACACAAAAATCTGACCTGGTGTATATGTATTAAGAAGGAAAGCTGATTTTTTTCTCCCAGGGACTGGGAAGAAAAAAAACCCTGGTTTGCTTGCTGCTGTGCAGTGTAGCAGCTGTGATATGACACTTCAGGCAGCTGAGGGAGTCAATGGCCCATTGTCCTTCATTTTGCAGCTGGTAAAGCTCATCTTTCCTTTTTTTGATGTTCCACAAATCATGCCAGTCTCTTTTCAGGCTCTGTTGCTGGCTGCTCCCCACCTCTATTTCACTGACCCATTACTTCTTTTTAGAATCCTAGATTCCCCCACCACAAAAATGCATCTTCAGCAGCAGCTAGGGTTTTAGCTTTGGTTAAGCAGGAACGGGGGGAAGGTGAGCATGCTGCAGATGTGGCTCTGCTCGGAGCCAAAATAAGGGGAAGTCGAGCAGGCTGCTCCAGGGGCTGCAGGTTGGGAAGGAGCCAGGCCCAGGAGGCCTCAGGCCTGGGAAGGGGTGGAAACCAACCCCATAGGATGGAGGCCTTACCTCCATGCCTTGGTAGGCCCAAGTCCAACTCAACCCATGAGGGTCTTGCTTCCTGCCCTGTGCTGCCTGCCCTGTCTGCTTTCTGCTTCCTTCCCTGTATCCTGTGCCCCATCTGCTCTGCTTTCTCTCCAGCCTGCCACGTGCCACCCACCAAGGCAGCCCGTTGCTTCTTGTAGTATGCATGTCACGCATTGGCCACTCCTACTGTGAAGCATCTGTTCCTGGCACTGCTGGAGACAGGCCATGGGGTATGATGGACCCTGGGCCTCACCCATGGCTTGGCCACTGGTCTTGTGTCCACACCGGTCCCGGGTCACAGCTCCCCTTGCAGGTCAGCTGCTGAGGAACAAGGCAGGAGCAGGTCCACGGCCCAGCCCGGGCTTTGCTTGGACTTTAGATGTTTGCAAAAGAAAATGCCAGTCCCAATGTCTTTCTGGCTGCCTCCGATGCCAGTCCTGGCCAGGGGCACATGAGAGGTGGGTGAGGCTAGTATGGAGATGGATCTTCCTGAATGACCCGAGTCTCCAAATATCCCTCCAGCCTTTCCCTATGTTTCTAGGTTCCTGATTCTTAATATTCCAAAAAAATTGGATTTATTGCAATGTATTTGTTTCACTGAAAATAACAGGACTGGACCAATGTGGACATGGACAGTGCCAATGAGCTGGGTTTCACATCGTTGAAAAAATGACACTGCTGGGAGCAAGATTCTTATCTCTGTTCTTCCTCACCATTGGACACAGCCTTCCTTGGCCTGTTCTTTTCTCCCCAGCCTTCAGAGTTTTCCCTCAACAAGGTGGCTTTAAAAAAAACCCCAGTTTATAGACCAACTCAGCTTCTAAAATCTATAATTGAGTTTAGAAACATCTAAATTCATTTAAAACTTTCTAAGTCTAGAAGCTGGCAGTAGCAGGGGCATTTCTATCCAGGCATAAGCAAGGGAGTTGCTAGACTTCATGGCTCATTGCAATCTCCCCAATTCCTGCTAAACTCTTCACTCCTTAGATGTGAACAACTCTCCTTTTTTAAAATGGTTTAATGTTCCACAAAGGAAGCTAGTCTTTTGCCTGCAACTCTGCTGGCTGCTCCTGGTCACGTTGCTCCTATTTCACAGCCCTGCAGATTGTTTTAACTTGAGCTGAAACCATTAATTAAGAGGTGGAAACATGAATGAAGCAGGACGTTAACTCAGGCACGGGACCAGCTTTCAGTACAGCAGCGGAGGCGCTGCCCAGATGCTTCAGACGGCAGGGTTGTCTTTTGTGCTTCTGAAAGAGACACACAGGCATCCAATTCGAATGACGACAGGTCTGAAGAAACAGCAGCTTTGGATTATTTTTTGACTGGTTCATTGTGGGTTTTTTTTTAAATGCATGATGGCTGTTCTAACAAATTGAATGTGCATGCCAATGAAGTTAGATTTTTAGCTTCCATCGTAAATTGAATAACACAGGGCTTGTCCCTGGCGTAGTCCCAAAGCTTCTGTTTTCTTTTTGCCTGGAGAGGCATGTGTTGTGTTGTTGGGGGTGATATACCCGCTTTTCCAGACTGTAGAGTCGCCCATGGTCTTGCCCCAGTCATGAGAGACAGCAGTCGTTCATGGGAGTGCCCCAGGTTAGTGGCAGGGGTGGTCCTGGGCAAGGTAAGGGTCATGGTTGGATCTCTGGGGGGACGGGGGGGGGAATCCTAAGTGGGGGGATCCTGGGGGGGGGGCAATTAATGGTCTATTGACTCTCTTAGCTGTCCGAAGAGCAATACCACAGCAGCTGCCCTGAGGAGCAGGGTGCGAAGCAGAGGGCTTCTAGCTTGGGCTAAAAAAATCAGCTTCCCCACATAAAACACACCTCAATTGGGTGGAGGGTGCTTATTTTGGGGGGTGGGGTGTTGTACGTGAGCAAATATGCTAGAGCTCACTGAAGGTGCCCCCACCCCACCTCTGAGGAGAAAAGCAGGGAGTTGGTTTTGGAGGTTGTACATGAGCAAATATGGTATGGCCCATATCTCCATAAAACAGACTAGGGAGTTGGTTTCCCTGTGAGTCTGCAGGGGATCCCTAGGGGTAGGGGGGCACTGAGAACATCAGCGGCAGGGAACATGGGTGCCAGGCACCGAGCAAAAGGTTCCAACAAGGGTGGGATTCAAACCCACACGTGCAGAGCACAATAGGTTAGCAGTCCAGGGCCTTCACCACTCAGCCACCTTGTCCCTTCATGAGAGAGATATGTCTGTTTCTTTCCAGGAAACAGAACTTGCTGCCTGACAAGGTTCTTTGGGTGAATCTGATATATTTTATTAGACCTACTTAAATAGTTAGAAAACAATTATTAAGCGAGCTTTCAGGTTCAAAAACCCTTCGTCAGGCTAAGGAAGTTTCTTAGCCTGACGAAGGGTTTTTGAACCCAAAAGCTTGCTTAATAATTGTTTTCCAACTATTTAAGTTGGTCTAATAAAAGATAT